TTTTTTTTTTTTTTTAAATATTAGAGGCTTTCCTTTAATCTCTAGTAATCTTTGGCTGTTAGGTTTCTTTACAAGTGAGACTGTGAGACTCTAAAAAGCTGTGAAGGAAGTCTGTGCATTGGCAGTGCTTGATGACTGGCTGTGGGGGAAGGGTTCACTGTAGAATGAGTGGATGGAAATCCAGCCTTTCCACGGGGAACATATCAGCCCCAGTATCTCTCATTGCTGCCTCGGTCTTTGTTTTCCAGAAAGAATCCTCCAATCTTCTGTCTTGAGGCATAATCTGGATCTAATTTGGGAAGTAAAGATGGAAAAGGCAGTTGGGGAACTCTGTGTTAGGATGTTATACTTTCACTTCATTGCCTTTTGGTAAGGCACCTTCCTTCTTGTTCCCAGTGTATCAAGCAATTTAGGTTCAGAGCTTTTTGGGTTCAATCTTTTTCAGCAAGTAAACCTTCATTTTCCCCCTAGGGCATGTGGGAATGTAGTTATTGGCTACAGAGTGGGAAAAGTGAACTGGGAGTGTTACTTCTCTTTCTTTCTACAGACTGTCAACCTACCCTCCTATGTTTAGCTCTATATATTGTCCCTGAACTTCATGAGGTACTTGGTACCACTACAGCCTTTTGGAGTCTGTGGTTTGGATTATATCGCTTCTTAAAAGCTTCTGCTAAATCAGTTTATCACTCATTCATTTACCTGCAATTTTTTAAATTTTCTGGTCTTGTCTGTTCTTTTCATGCATGTGAATTTATAATTTTAAAATTATTTAACCTTATTAGTAGCATTTCAGAAGAGAAGTGACTTAAACACACATATTGAGGCAGGCGGATTGCTTGAGACCAGGAGTTCAAGACCAGCCTGGCCAACATGGCGAAACCCCGTCTCTACTACAAATACAAAAACTGGCCAGGCGTTGTGGCACGTGCCTGTAATCCCAGCAACTCGAGAGGCTGAGGCATGAGAATCGCCTGAACCTGGGAGGTGGAAATTGCAGTGAGCAGAGATTGTGCCACTGCATTCCAACCTGGGCAACAGAGACTCTGTCTCTAAATAAATAGATAAATAAATAACAGACACACATACACATATATATATGGGATTTTATATATAAAAACCAGCTTTTCAATATTGGCTAACAACTCTCCTGCTAGCTTTTTACACAGTATTCATTACTCTGGCAGAAAGCTCTCTTTCCTGTCTCTCTGTCTCTCTCTAGGCATCCTGTACCTCATGTTTTATCTATTTTCAAAGAACCAACAGAAGTTCCTTTTTCCATTGGAAGCTCTACGGTTACTCTAGATCTGGGGGCATTTTACCCTTTACCCTAAACTCCTCCCTATACCACTTTTCCATGTGTTCTTTTTGGAAAGCCTTAACAGGATAGGTACTTGATATTTGTTAATTAACAAATTAAATTAATATGGTATAGGAAGAAATGAGAGGCACCATGACACAGTAGAATAAGCTTAAATGCAGAAGAACTGGGTTTGAATACCAGTACTGTCACTTACTGGTTGTTCAACTTTGAATAAGTCACTTCTGTTGAGACTCCATTTCCTTACTTGTAAAATGGGAATGTTGCCTGCCTTGCAGAGCCGTTGTAAAGTTTAAATAAGATAAAGTATATAGAGTGTCCAAAATAATATCTGGTACATCATAAGTGCTCAATATAAAATACCTGTTATCATTATTAATACATATATATACTCTCCATATTATCATCATCATAGCATCTACCACTAGGCTAGGCATAAAGGCAGTGCTCAATAATGGCTTACCACTTAACTACTAATGGGAGGCAGAAATGGAAGAAGGAAAAAGTTACTTCAAATCAAAGGGAAAATCTTCAGTATACTGTTCACTTTTTTAAATGCTGATTTTTATTAAGCTTCTGACTGCATGTACTCCAGAGAAGCAGCAATAAACACACACATGTCAATATCTTTAAAATAATTATATAGTGAAATGGAAAGACTGATACATGATGTGAGTGGTCAGGAGATCTGGTGAAAGACCCAGCTCTGCTGTATGATCATGCAAACTCCTTCCTTGCTTGGCCTAGTCAAATGATTTTCAAACTTTTAAAAATTCAATAATCTTCAACAAGTTAACTCCCTGGTAAAGATATTAGTAAAAATAGAAAGGAAAAGAAGAAACCAGGTCAAGGAGGAAAGGACGAGGTAAGGACAAGGATAGGGAAAGGGGAGAAAGACTACATTTACTAAGTCCCTATATGTTCTCTTCATTCATTCAACAAATATTTACTGAGTGTCCACTAGACGCGGCAATGTGAATCACCTCTCTGTCTTTGGAATGAGAAGCCTGGACTCTTAGCCTATTTTCACCATATAATGTGTATAACCTTGAGGAAGTTACATAACCAATCTGTGCCTTGTCTATAAAACAGGACCAACAATGTTTATCTCATAAGATAGTTGCAAGAGTTCAATTAGGATTTTTATAGAGAATAGAAGTTCCTGAAGTTCCTGAGGCCTGACTTTTAGTGGGTAGTCATTAAAACTGCTGAGGGCTAAGAGTACTAAGCTGAAGAGTTCAACTTTATCTTGCTGGTTAGCAGTAAGAACCTGCTCCAGGGTTTTAAGCAAGAGAATGAATGAGGAAAACAACTAGAGAGGCAGCTGTGGACAGGCTAGAAGACTGAAGTACTCTTGCCTCTAAGAAGTCTTACTTCAGGTTCCATCAACACCTGCCCTGACCAACTATTATCAATCAATACCACACTTCCCTAAACATTACGTCGTCTTCTGCTTTCATTTTTGATTGGGGAAGGCAGATGCCAAGAAAACCAGGCAAATAAAATATTGCTTTGAGTCTGTCTAACTGCCTCAAATTAGCCTCTGAAATAAACACCTTTTGTAACAACTTCCTACCGCACCACCACAACCCAAAGAGTCTAAGCAGTCTTAAGTGGAATTTTGGTTTCAATTAGTTTGAATTTCAGCTTTACTTTGATTTAGGACTTCATGGGGCAAATAAGATTTTGTTCAACTCTATGGCTAGTAGGCAACCAAGGTGAAAATTACACTTATTGAATAAGTTAGATGGGAAGTGGGGAAAAACAA